ATTATTCAAGTTTGGATAATTTAATCTCTAGGGGTTTGCATAACTTCTGTGGCTTCTTTTGCCATTTATTTCTAATCTTATTCTGTTATGAACTAATATTAACCATGGAGAATTTTCAGTTTTTCTTCACTTGTTTAAGAATGCTTTATGAACTAGTCTGTGGTTTGTTTTCGAGAAAGTTCTGTGTGCTGCTGAGAAGAATATTATTCTGTTGTTAGCTAGAGCACTATAGAAATCTGTTAAGTCCATTTGTTTGATTTTATGCCTTAACACTGATACTTCTTTTTCAGATTTGTGTCTAGTTGATCTATTTAGCATAGTGGCATATGGATATACTCCACCATAGTTGTGTTGATGTTTATCTTATCTTTTATGACCAGCTGTGTTTGTTTCATGAAGCTGAGTGAATTTTTGTTTAGTGCATATACATTTGTAATTTTTATGTTTTCTGTTGAATTGCTCCTTTAACCAAGAGGCACTGACCTTGTGTGACTTTTCTGATAATTTTTGTCCAGAAGTGTACTTTGTCTGAAACTAGTGTGACCATTACTCCTTGTTTTCAGGTTCTTGTTTCATAAAATATTTTCCTTCCTTTTCATTTTAGTCCATGAATTACTTTTTGGACTGGTGGTAACCAATTAATAGCAACAACTATGCCATCCTTAAACTATCAATAATAACAAGGTAAAAAAATAACTGGATACTACAATATCATAAGAACCTATGAAATCTACTATTGTGTCACCTTTAGCAAAAGAAAAGAAATCTGTATTTATAATACAAAAACAAACACAAACCAAATACAGTAAATTCTCAACTTATGAATGAGTTCCATTCTTGGAGAACGTTCATAAATCATTTCTGTTTGTAAACTTGGCAAAGTGAGTCTTCCATACTTTTGACAGAAATAAACAATATTGCCTTGTGCTTCCTGGCAGTTCCTTCCTCATCATTATTCCTTTTTCCCCTACTTCCAGACATTCTGGGTTCTGATTGAGCTACTGTGTACTATCGCACTGTACAGTAAGCACAAAGCAGCACAACTGTGACAGTATCCAGCAAACACATGAGCTACTTCTGCAATTTGTTTTTATCAATTAATGTTTATAATGTGAGGTCTGTTCATATCTGTGAAAGTTCATAAATCAAATGTTCCTAAGTCAGGGATTCACTATATTGGCATATAGTGAATGTTTACTCAATGCAGGAACTATATTTTCATTAACAATACAAAAAAAGCCAACAATAATAAAATAGAATCAAGTAAGATGATTAATAGTAACACTAGTATGTTTGAATGATTTCTTCCTGGTTTCTGTGTTTCCTTGTGTGTGCCAAGTCAGGGTTTTCTGTGCCTTCTTTTTGTTCTGTGGGATTGTGAGGTGCCCACTCTGGTTCCAGAGGGCCATCTTTATGTGCATGCCATGTGTGGCAGCCATCTCAGTCAAGGTATGTCCCCGATGACGGTGGCAGACAGGGAAAGCAAACAGACCATGGAGCTCTGTTTTGGATGCAAGCAATGGAGTGAAAGAAGGGCATCAACTAGTTTTCTAGACTTATTGTCCACACTTTTGAATGCAGCCTTGTCCAGAATCCACACATGACTTGCCTGGCTTCTCATTTCAGAGGCAGGTACTCTGTATCTTTTCCAGTTTGAGCTTCAGCTCTCAGGGAGTATATATAGCCCACAGACTCTCCATGATTGTCCATTGTGGCTGTCTCTCATCCACTCACTATGGTAAGTAACCCCAAAAACTTTGAAGTGTAGTTGTTCTGTAACTTTTCTATAGCTCAGTCTTAAACAGTTATCCCCTTCCTCAAATTTCTGTTGATTAAACACTCAAATATCATGGGCTCTACACTGAATTTGTTCACCAACTGTAACTTGCTGTGTGGAAGAAGTCACTGTCAGATATTTCCGCAGTTCATAATAACTGTGGGCTTTTAATGGAAATAGCAGATCTGGCTTGGTCTAGTTATTTCTCCTTGAAGATGCCAACCCTTTTTGTGCTTACTTTATGTTAATAGAAACCAGTCCTTCTCCCAGGGAGCCAGGCGTAGCTTTCCGGTTTCCTTCATTCTTTTCTCTATATCAGCCAAATTCTTTTTAGTTTCTAATTTTCTTGTCAACTTCCTCTTCATACTTAGACATACAATTCTTTTTTTTTTTTTTTTTGATCACAAAATTGTTGTTTTCCAGATGTGCTGATACCTGATCCCAGAGAGGCTGTATTTAAACTTTGGCTTAGGATCTTATTTCCTGAGTGAAACATGATAGAACGTATTACCTTACCTACATATATGAGGTCTAGCTATTGAAGATACAAATTTTTAAAAAATGATCATTGTTCTGAAAGAGCTCATGCTATGTATATGAGGAAGTGAAATACATTTTTGTAAAGTGATAATTAATATACTAGTACATGGTAAAATATATTCTGAATTAATGTCACTGGAATGCCTTAGATGGAAGTGATTTTTTTCTGAAAAGTAATTCTTAGAAAAAATGAAAGCTATATCATAGTCTGCTTTGTTTACCCTTATATTTCCAACATCATAAACAGTGCTAGTATATAATATGTACTCAATAAATATTTGTGAAATATGTGAATTAATTAGGCTTAATTATAAAACATGTTTTGTTCACTGAGATTTACAAACTTGTTTGTGTTTCCTAGGGTGGGAGTCAGTGAATGATCATAGAACCTGACTGCAAAGTACTTGAAATAAATGCAACTAGACTGTCCTGTATAGAATTATATATGATCAGATTTAAATCCCGTTGAAGTCTTACTTTCTCTCATACGAATCAAATGACTGACATAAGTTATTTTAATTGTTTTGTGATAATAAAAATGCTTCCCGTTTGACTCCATGATTCTTTTAACTAGAATTCTGAGGTTATTTCTAAGTGTAGAGTGTAAATCTTGCTACGTATGATTTATTTACATTGATTCATTTATCAGTCATATGCTTCAGTACAGAATTGGTATCTAGATCCAGTTTTACTTTTGAATAGTGAATTCAAGTGAAGGAAGAAGACACTTTGGTATTACAAATCTATGCTTTACTTCTATGAGCTTAATTTTGTTAGATTACATGTGTGAGTGAGAATATATGTGTTTCTGTGACTGGCATATTTCCTTAAATTTCAGGTTTATGTTGTCACAACTGATAAGATTGCTTTTCAGGGTTGAATAATATTCCATTGCATATACATACAACATTTTCCTTATACTTAGCTTATTTTTCTTGGCTACTGTGAATAATAATGCTTCAGTGAAAATGGGAGTACAGATTTGTCTTCAATAGTATGATTTCATTTCCTTTGGATATGTACTCAGAAATGAGATTGTTGGGTCATAGAGTAGTTCTATTTTTAATGTTCTAAAGCACTTCTTTCTGTTCTAATGTGTAAATGTATGATGGTTGCCCTGATTTGTATTCCCCCCAATAGCACAAAAGATGTTTTTAAAAGTTTTCCACATCTTTATTAGCACTTGTTATCTTTGTCTTTTTAAGAAAGATTCATTTTTGTATGCCTATTGACCCTCTATGAATAGTGTCTTCTTTGGGAGAATATCTTTCCAAATCTTTTGGTAAAGTTTTTAATTGGTTAAGTCTCATTTTCCTTTTATTTGCATTTTTTTTCAAAAATAGTTTTGCCTATTCCTTTTTCTGTCTTTAACCTGCCAGAATCAGTTTGGTGAAATATAAAAATAAACATTTTATTTAGTGGGTAATTTTCCTGATTTATGTATTTTAAGTTATTCTTACCTCATCGTCTAAAATATGCATAGAGTCCGCATGGCATTTTAAATACAATGTTTTAATTCTTAGCCCATACAGGTAAACTGTAACCAATGCCATAATTAAGATACACCATCATTCAAGAGACTTTTTCACGTACACTCTACTCATACTTACCCCTTAGCAAAAACTGATTGGTTCCCCTCAGTATAAATTTATCTTTTTGAGAAGGTAGTATAAATGGATTAATATAGCATTTAACATTTTGAAATTGGCCTTGTTCATTGAGTTTAATATACTTGATCCATACAAGTTGCTGCATATATTAATAATCTGTTCTTCCAATTCTCAAACATTATAACCTTGCAAATATGTGGCACAGTTTGACTACTGTGCATTGATAAACATTTTATTGGTTCCAGAATTTGGTAATTATGACTCTAACTACTTTAAACATTTGCATTCAGGTTTTTAATGAACACTAATTCTCATTTCTTGAGGGTAAATATCAAGGAGACTGATTACTACATCATAGGGTAAATTATATTTTAAATTTATAAGAAAATGCCCAATGGTTTCCAAATGACTTGTCATTTTATATACTTATACATGAGCACTCCTGATACTCAGTATCCTTTTTAGCTCTTGGTATTGTCAGCTTTTGTTACTTTCTCTTTTTCACTACTGAGTACCCAGGACCTTTAACATGCTGGGCATATGCTGTGCCACTGAGCTATATTCCCAGCCCTCTTGTTTAAATAAATAGTATAAAGATGTGTCCTGTTTTACTTTGCAGTTTTAATTTGCATTTGCTTAATGGCTAATGATGCTGAACACTGTTCATGAATATTTCCCATGCTTGCAACCTGTTTAAATATCTTTGTAGTTATTCCGTCACTTTTATTTGAATTGTCTATTTTTCATCTATTATTGTTTTGTGAGATTTATTTATTCTGAATGCATGTTCTTTGCCATATATGTATTTTGCAAATACTTTTTTCCAACATGTAACTCATTTTTAAAATTTCTTTAACAGAATCCTCCACAAAGGCCATTTCATGGCAGAATAGCATACTTTCTAACCCGAATTAAATGCTGCTATCCAGGGGCCTTGTCTTTAGACTACTTCTGGAATTTTAGTACTATTGAAACTAATCTTTCCATTCTCAGTGAAACAACTTACTTGTCTACCATCATCTTGTCCTATGTTGGTTGCGTATTTCTAACTCTTTTGCCTTCTTTTCATCAAGGACTATGATGCCTTCTTTGAAGCTCGAGAAAATAATGCCGTGTATGCCTTTTTAGGCTTGAAGGCACCACCTGGTTCGAAGGTATGATTCTATTTCCTTGCATTATAGATCACTTTAATCAATAAAATTTCTACCTTTATTAAGTATTCAGATTATATCAAAGGCAGTAGATCATAGCTAAGAATTCTGTTCTACATACACTTAATCTCTACTAGGCTAGACCGATGTGCATAATCACAATAAAGTTATAATGTATATGTGTGGGAAGTAAGTGATAGATGAACTGATTTCTTCATCAAGCAGCCCAACATTGCTGATTTATTACTCTCTATTCATAAATAAGTGATTAGTAGCACTAGAGATTATTATTTCAGTTGTAATACACAGTTCTACATGGGTAACAAGCATCTTAGACTATAGTAATCTGCTTATCAATATTTACTATCTTTGTGTGAGAGCAAATGATAGATTCACTTGTTCAAGTTAACTAAGAACATTTTGAGTTACAAACTGGTCACCAAATTGCTAGTCAAATTTGAAGAATATTTGCTACCAACATGAAATTTCAAGTGTTGATGTTCCCATGGGAGATCAAAAGAAGAAAGCAAGCAAAAATGAAATTTCTTATTTAGTGAAATGTCTTAAAACTATGAATTTAAGTATGCCTTTACCTTTTATAATAGATATTCTCCAGCCAGGAGTGGTGGCACACACCTGTAATCCCAGCACTCAGTAGGATTGCTCTAAGTTGAAGACTAGTCTGAGCTACATAGTGAGTTCAAGTCCAACCTGGACTACATAGCAAGGCATTGTGTATATATATATATATATATATATATATATATATATAAAATAGATCTCCATACAAGCTAACTTCGTGTATGTTTCCTGCTGTATGCTCTTAACATCTGCTTTTATGTTAGATAGATGTCTTGGTTACTTTTCTCTCATTGCTGGAACAAAACACCCAAAACACAAAATTAAGGAAGCAAAGGTTTATTTAGCTTACAGTTTTTGGAGGTTTTAGTCCGTAATCAGCTGTCTGCAAGCCAGGTTAGCGTGGCACTGGGGCAACACTTCAAAACAGCAGCCAGAGAAAAAGTGGGGAGGAAAAGAGTCTTTTCCTCCCTTGTATAGTATACAAGCCACCTACCCCCGTTCCAGGGGGGGTGTGTGGCCCTCACACCTTCTCTGTGTGCTGGTCTTGCACCAGCTCAGGTTATTAGCAAAGTAAGATTCCTTGCTCCCTGCTGAGTTTCTTAGTTAAGCTTCTAGACTTCTCAAGTTTACGCAATGTATCAACCATAGCAATAGACTATTCAAACTCCATCTCCTTCAGTTTTGATACCCTATGGTTTTACTAGATGCAATGTGCTAACATTGTATTTGTGTCACTGTGAAATTATTCTTGGGAAACTTTCTTTTCCCAAGGATAAAATGCTATGTTTTATGTTTTGTATAATTTGACTCATAATAAAAGTTAGTTAAAATACCTTTATTTAAATAAAAAAGCATCTTTATTTAAATAAGATACGATGACAGAAATTGTTACTGCATTTAACACGGATTAAAGGAAATATGAAAGAAATAAGCGAGACACTTATTTTTTGTCACTTATGACTCCCTTTTAGTTAAAATTTGGATTCACTCATTCAACAACAATTTATTAAGTGTCAGGTTTTAATATTTTTTTATTTAAGGAGAAAAAGAAAAAAACAGAAAAAGGGTACAAGTAATACAAAATTTAAAAAATAAACAGCAAGAAATCACTAGTTAATAGATTTCATATTCTCATCTTAGAAATAGTTGTTCAAGTTACAAAACTGAAGCATATAAAGTAGACTTTCAAACAGTGAGAGTGCAAACAGTTTTGTTCAATGATCCAAAAAACACTCAGTAATATGGTTATCTATCTTATACACTTAAACATATATGCAGTTATAACCTATAGAGCACTTTCTTTTCTTTTCTTTTGTACAATGAAAATTACACATTTTGGGTTTTATTACTCCCACATTTCTTATTACTTTTTTTGAAGAGAGTAAAACCAAATGAGACATATAAGAACAGAGTCAGTCAAATCAAAAGGATGGACATAATAGATAATGTAAAAACAAAATATAAGTTGATCAACAATGGTTACCATATTGCCTCTTGCTATTTTAAGAAGAATTGCCAGTTATAATAAAATTTAACTAAGCAGTAAAGAATAAAACCAAAGCGTTGGAGACATTACAGGACTTTAAAAGAAAATAATAGTCAACTGGAATGGGCGTCATAATGAATCTTATTGTCTTCAGAGTTTTGCCTGTACTTTCGAACTTGGTATTATCAAGCAAAGCAGAATAGAGGAAAATCAGTCAAAACAAGATGGTGAGGGCAATACAGGATTTCAAATCAAGTTAGTAGGAAATCAAAGTAGGTTACTATAATGTATCCTGCTATTTTTTATTTATTTTTCCCTTAATTAAAAAGATAAAGAGAGAAAAGTAAATAATTAAAAAAAGGGAATTGAGATAAAAGAGGGCATAACAACAGAACAGTGCAGGTCAAAACATAGCCATTTAAGCAAAATAGTGTTTCACCACAGGATATCCTGACATAAAAATAGTTACCATAATGTCTCTTTCCTTTAAATCTTTGAGTATAACTTCGTATACTGTAGCACCAAACATATCAAGACACTATAAAACCATTCAAGAGAATGACATTATTACAGAGTATTCAGAACCAGCTAACAGAAAATGAACAATGGTTTCTGTATTATCTCCTTGTCTATAAAAGTTTTTGCTTATATTATGATATATAATAAAATCCAGTAAGATACAACCTTTTAAGACCGATGGAGACAGAAGAATACAAGTTTGATGGGACTTCAAAGCAAGATGATACTAAATTAACACTAGCTATTATGATGTTTTGTTTTCTCCAAAATAGCTGTTCCTACCATCCGATCTTCTCTGCCTCATTCCTGTTGAGCTCTTTTTCTGTCGTTTGTGGTCAGTTTGTCTTCTTCATTTCGTTTTCTGCTCCATTCATTGTGGCCTCTCTGCCACTATTTCTGGAATCTTGGTATTTTCCTTTTTTAGAATATCCTGCAGTATTCTCTGTAGAGTTGAATTGGTGGTTGCAAATTCCCCTAGTTCCTCTTTATCCTGGAAGCATCTTGTATTCCCATCAATTTCTAGGGACAGTTGTGCAGGATATATCAATCTTGGCTGGAGGTTATTACCTTTCAAAGCTTGAATTATTCTGTTCTTATATTGGATTTTTGGAATTTTGATTATTATATGCCTGTGTGTAGCTCTGTTTGGGTTGTAGGTAGCTGGAGTCCTGTATGCTTCATATATCTGAGTATCTTTACCATTTGCTAAATTAGGGAAATTCTCTTGGATTATTTCTGTGAATAGCTTTTGTAGTTCATTTGTTTGTGTCCCCACTTCTTTTATGTTCTTAATTCTTAAGTTATAGACCCTCTTATCATCTTCTATCCTTTGTATTTGTGCTGTTTTTTTTTTGTTATTTTAAGAAGTTTTTCATTTCATGTTCCCATATTATAAATCTGCCCTCCAGTGCAGATAATCTATCCTTAATTTCTTTCAAGCTGTTATGCAAGTTTTTGATAGAGTTTTTAGTTTCCTGGTAATCTCTTTGAACCTTCTTCATGTATTTTATGTTTACCCTGTTTTCTCCATCAAACAATTCTCCCCTTTTTTTCTGTTCTTCCATTCCACCAGAGTTTTTTCTTGGGTGGTGCTTAGCATTTCTCTAACTATTCTGCTTATGTCTTGCTTCAGGTCATTAATAACTTCATTCCTGAACTCGTCTATGAGGCTCTGGAGACAGCGCTTTATGTCTATTGGTGCCATGTCTGTTACTGCGTGTTTCTTAGGATTGGGGGCCAAGGACCCTTTCTTGTTGCTCCCTCTTCCCATATTCTTTGTTCCTTATATACAAGCATATATAGGAGGCCCAGCTTCCTTCCCTGTTGGCCACAGTCTGTTTGAATTGCGCCGGCTAGGTGTTCCCACCCCCTGCAGCTCACCAGGGAGCGGGCACCCCCTCCAGGTCAACCTACTAAAAGCTTCACCACTAGGGTGCATCCCCAGGCTGCTGGGACCTGGGTTGGGCTAGCCTACTGGGTTTCAGCCAGCAGCATCACGCAGGCCAGGCACTCCCCACCAATCCCGCTTGAGAGGGGGATATGTGACTGAAGTCACTGCAACAGCTCATTCCGGGTAGTCTGCCTGGTCCAAGTATGTCCTCCACTGAAGCCTCCTTCTATGGAAGGGTCCCAGTCCGCTCACTCACCGCAGGTCGATGCAGGGCACCCGGCCAGTCCCGCTCCCAACTCCATTCAATGCTTCCCACTCTCAGAGCTTTCACGCCTCGCTCCCCACCTTGCCGACCAGGATGCAACAGTGGCTGCAGGAAATTCAAATTGAAGCTTCCAGTGGCGCCGGGTCCAGCTTCCACGCTAAGATCTTAATCTGTTCCTGCTGTATCACCCGGATTGCGTTTCCAGTTGGTTTCTCTTAATTTAGTTCATTCCTGGGTCGGCAAAGAATATCCCCCTTGTCTAGGATTTCCTGCCCAGCACCTTCCTGGATTTTAAGTGTGGTTTCTCAGAGAGCCTCTGAAGCTGTTGCTATCTATCTGCCATGTTCTCCTGGAAGTCTCCAGGTTTTAATATTAATGGTGGGGTAAATACACAGCTTGCAGTATATTCCTTACATTCATAGTGTTTATAACCTTGTGAAGATGTGTATGCAAATATTTAACAAATACAGCTATAAATAATGCTAATTTAAGACATACTGTAGTAAGTTTTATAAGATAGTGTAAATAAAGACCTGTAGGAGTTCAGAAGAGCTAGTCATAAATTCCTACTAAAGAGATTGTGAAGTTTCACAGATTAATGTCATTTGAGCTGTTGGAGATTCCTAAATAATGAAGTGACATGAAGGCATGTTTCACAGAGACAGCGACAGAAACTATTGCCTTGGAGTATAGCTCTACATGATGATATATTCAAGGTACAGAGTGTAATACAATGTGACTTTGAAACTGGAGATATTAATAGAAAAGGTGAAATTAGCTAGCTATGTGAGAGCCAGATTATGATTTTTCTGGGTAGTTTTAACTTTAGCCTACAGGCATACAAAAGCCATGATGGGGAATAGGGAAATACAACAATATATTTATTTAAGTATTTTATTTTTTTATTTTTTTTTCTTTTTCGTTTTTATCGGTACCAGGGATCGAACTCACGACTGCCTGCTTTCAAGGCAGGCGCTTATGCCGCTGAGCTAAATCCCCAGCCCCTATTTAAGTATTTTAAATTGTGGTTTAATCCAAAAGAACAGTGGATATTATGAAGGACTGGATAAAGAGGAGCTGATAGATACAGCTAACTAGACAGGTCTGGAAATGGCAATGGATAGGAAGAATGGATTGATAATAGGAGAAACTTTTTTTGTGCAGGGGACTGAACTCTTGACCTTATGCTTGCCAACCAGGTGCTTAGGCCATGGAGCTAAATCCTCAGGCCTAGGAGAGACTTTGAAGCTTAATGTTTAATATGGTTTTTCTAAAACTAACAGGAACAAATTTGATGTCAGATATTATTAATTGTTCAGCTCAATTTTCAGTTTTCCCCCTTTAATGGGACAGTAAGCTAACAAAAAGAACTAACTGAATGGAGTGCATCAAATAAGAAATACAACTATGTAATTCACATTGAAAAACTATGCTGATGATAAAAGAAATGTGATAAACTGGAATCCAATTTTCATCTGTAAATTAATAGAAGTAAAACAAAGTAATGCTTGGTGCTCAGAGGAGTACTCTGAAACATGCATGAATATAGTCCTGGGGGTAGTATAAATTAGTAGTCTATCTTGGAAGCAGAAGAACTATCAAGAATTTCAAAAATATTTATACTTTTTCATCCACTAATTTCATATTTGGTACTATATTTTAATGAAAGTATCCTACATATGAAAAAAGCCTTATCAACAAAAACATAAATAAAATGTAATTTATAAGCCTAAATAATAAATAAGTTAAAGTTAAGTCCTTAATAGAAATGTCAACTAAATAAAATCGCCAACTAAATGAATTTAATAGGCAAAATAATGCATCAAAGCATTATGCATATTGTGGACTTTGGAAAGAATTAAATGTCTAATGCTATGCTCAACACAAAGTGGTTTATCTACTCAATGAATTCATAGTATCATAGAATGATACATCACCGTAAACTCCCTTTATCAATGGTCTTACTTTATAGCTTCTGTCACCTGTGCTTAGCTATGCTCTTATAATGTTACTCTAAAATTTCAGAATTAATATTTTAAATTGCCATTTTGAGTTGTACAATAAATTATCTCACCATCTCCTACTATCCTGTCCTGGACATGAGTCATTGTTTTGTTTAGCTAGTCTATTCTGGATATACTAACTGAATCATGGCAGTAGAAAGAGATGAACTACATTTACATAATTTTGTTAGTGTATTTTCATTATTGTTTAATCATTAGTTATTGTTGTTAATCTTTATATAGGATGTTGTACTATCTGTACTTTCAGGCATTCACTAGGAATATACACTCTGGCTAAGAAACAACTAGTGTAGTTTGTGAAAGAAGATATTAAATAGAGTTACAAAACTGTTCCTACATACAGTTTTCTAATTATATTTAAAATTCATTCACAAAACAAAAAGGAGTCTGAAAGGAACCATGGCCAATATACATGTTCTCCCATTCATTTTCCAAATTGCAATGTATAGTCATTACATTTAAATGAATAAAAAACCCAAACCACAGGAGAGCTTGATATTTATTTATTTATTTATTTAGGGATCAGGCATGGGACTCATGAACACGTGCTTTCCAGACAGGCACTTATGCCACTGAGCTAACTCCCTGGTTAGGCTAAGATTGATATTTAAAAGCAAATATTTCCATAAATTAAAGACTGTGGAAGTCAAATAATTTTTATAACTTTTAAAAAGATATAAAATTATTTATTGCTCTATTTTAGCAATGAAAATATAGTATGTTCAGTGCTATAGTGAGGGAACAATGACCACTGGTTAGAGAATCGTTTTCATTAACTTCATTGGAAGTCTGCCTCTTCTGTAAGATTTAATGGAATCCACCAAATTCATTTTATTCACATTGTACCTCTAGGTTTTGTTTTAATTACTAGACAAAAACAGAGGACAGAGTGAGTGAGAAGGAAGAAGATTAAGGAATGCAATTTGTGGCCAATGCACTGAGTCACACACTTCACATCTCATTCTTGTATCATCTCTATTAGCTAAACACCATTATTGCATTTCTACAGAGGAGGAAACTGATACTCAGATTTCTTAAGTCATTTGCCCAGTGATATTCAGTTGTAGAGCTAGAATTTGAGACCAGGATTACATGACTCAAAACCATTGGATATATTGAATAATTTTTACAATAGGAGAAGAGGAAAGCAAACTTCCTATTGTTGTTTCTAAAATCCTCTGATTGATTAGATGACCCATGGTGCTATAAATATTGACTGCTTACTTTCAAGAAATATTAAAGGTTAAGATTTATTTAAATACTTAATAAAATAATTAGTAAGGTAAATAATTTATTTAAATATGAATTCTAAAGACATTACAAAGCATTGTTTTGTATGTTTGTAGTAATAATCTCTTTTATTTGGAAGGATAACTGAAAGCTATTTAATTTATAATAAACTATAGTAAAAATATTTTAGGTGTGACTTAGAGATCTAGTCTGCTTTGAAAATATGAATACTCAGGAGTGCATGCTCATAGAAACAAAGATTTTGCATTAGTGCTTATTGTTATTACTGTACAACTGCTTCTCAATTATATAGGTTAAGCATTTTGTGAGTTTTAGCATAAAATATGTTTTACTGTGTGGGAATTGTTGAAGGTATATACCTTTTTCATAAAATTATGTAACGTAGGAGCAAGATGAATTTATGTTCATAGCCACATTTGTGTCAGAAACATTAAAAAATTTAGAAATGTTCTCTCTCCCTTCTTCCTACCCCTCCTCCTTCTCTCCGTTATTTTTTCCTTCTTTCCTATAAACATTTTAGAAAGTTGTAATGCATTTTATCTGTTCTATTAAGGATATATGAACAATGAAGTATTATCTGTATGAGCTAAGCATCATTAAGAATATATGAACAATGAAGTGTTCTCTTTTTTCTTCCTTTTCTTTTTTTCTTTCTTTCTTTCTCTTTCTCTCTCTCTTTTCTTTCTTTCTTTCTTTCTTTCTTTCTTTCTTTCTTTCTTTCTTTCTCTTTCTTTTGAATCTACTATTTTAGGCTAATTTTAGAATACTCAGCTGATTTTGACTCTTTGTAAGATTGTCACAACTCAACTACTGACTGGTATTTCCCATGTTAATACCTGAAATATTTGATTTCTACAATTTAAGTCTTGTGTTTCTTTAACCAGGTCACTTTTATGACATATCTTTAATTCATAAAACTTATGTTTGAAGATTATTTTGTGTAAAGAATTATGTTGTGAGCCAAAACAGATATGTAGTTCAGAATTCCTATGCTACATTACTCACTGTCCGAAGCAAAAAAGACAACCTAATTTATTTTCCTGCCTACTGTCATGCTACATAAAAACCACAGTATTTTAATGAATAACACATTGTCTAACTTAAAGTTAATGAAATTCAGTTAACTATAAACATTAGGTAACATTATAGACTCTCAGTTTTCTTGTAAAATATCACCTGAGAGAGAAACAAGCTGACTATTTAAAATACCAATTTTACACTCTAAGGCACCTAGCTTTATGGAATAATTTTAAATCATTAGTAATGATTAGACAATCTTTGATTATGTACTGGCTTTCCTGGCAATGAGATACAATATCTGATATCCACAATTTAAATTAAGATAGGTTTAATTTACCTTAGGGTTTCAAAATTCAGTGCATGATCAGCTGGTTTCAAGGCAGAAACATTATGGAAGAAGGGTGTGGTAGAGAAAGGATGCTCATGAGAGTTCATGGGACTAGAGAAGTAGAACGGGGGCAGTAGCACAGAGAAAATGGAGAAAGGCCATATTAGTACCCAAGATCATGCCTCCACGATCCACTCACAAACACCAGGGGGTTTACTAGTGTACTAGGTGTTTCTTTATCCAATAAAGTTGACTTACAATGGTTTCTATATTATGAATTTTCTATTAAAAACTTTAAGCAGTCTTTTCTAGATTTAATCACTCCTCTTTTGAACATTTCTCAGGAGGTTGTTCTTATGTAGTCTAAATACAATAATCTATGGGGCTGGGGATTTAGCTCAGCGTCATAAGCACCTGCCTTGCAAACAAGCGGTTGTGAGCTCGATCCCCAGTACTTATTAAGAAAAAAATATATATATATTTATATATGTATATATATATATATATATATATATATATATATATATATATATCTACTTTGCAATACTTACATTTAACATTTGTTTATTTGTTTGTTTTCAGGAAGCAGAAGCCCAGGAAAAGCAGCAAGCATGAAGGTTAAGCTCTCTGCATTATACATTCTGCCTTAAACATCTTGAAAAATAACTCCCTTTTGCTTTTATACAATGTTTCTCAAATAGCAAAATTATCTTGGTTTCAAAAGAAATTGCTTGAAGTTAAGATAGTCAAGTAGTGTTTTCATGTACAATAAAATGAATGCATAATTAAAATATGAGCATTATGTTGATAATAGCAAATTATGATAAAATTTTAAATAAATATCATGAGATAGTATTACGTGCCAAGACATTTTTTGTACTTTAATGATTTTTTACAAAGAAAACACCTTTTTTGATATTGTTGCAACTTAAATCTATCTGCAGCTCACCAGTAAGAAATTGAGTCTCCATCTCTTGTTCTCAAATTGCTTCATTAGTTTCAATGTATAACAATGTGTATGTTTTTGAACTGAAGTTATCATCAAAAAGTACATGGTTCTGATATGTGAAACATTGTCATTTTATGTGGTAATTATAACATTCCCATTCTTTTGTAGAAGGAACTGCTGTGTTCTGATCTACAAGCTTTCAAGGATTCTTAATGTAGCCTTTCATGCAACATTATGTGATTGAATTCATGACACCCCCGTCAAAACAATACATACATTCAATTGAAAAATTCCTTATTTTACTGCGTTCTCATCAAGTAATGTTTCTGGGTTGCTTATTTCAGTGAAATATGCGTGTTTGTCATGGAATTGGGACAGCACGTAAGCTTAAAAGGGCATCCTCTTAAAAGAAGCTCAGATTTTAATTAACTATTAAAAAGTATATTGGAATTTATTGGCCAAGATTTATTTCCACAGATTTTTGCTAAAATAAATTTTAGTGATTTTCCCCTTTGTAAGAAAGGATGTGATTATGAATGCTACTGTCTCTTGATACTGGACCTTTTCGTTACAGTTCAGTCATAAATTGTTTGAATAAGTTAATACAGAGATAATATTTTCTATGCCCCTGTTACATGAAAAAGTACAAATATCAAGCAAAAGAGATGCGTTATTCAGTATTGTATTGTTGTGAGAAAAATATCTGAGAAACAATTTTACAGAAGAAAAGATTCCATTTGGCTCATGATTTTGGAGGTCCATGTAGCTTGGCCTGCAGAGACCAGAGCATTAACATGCTGGGGTGAACACAGTAGAGCAAAGGTGCTCACTTCATAGTGGTGTGGAGACAAAGACAGAAAACTCATTTTTGAAACAAAGCTCCTTCCCCCAAACACATTCCAAAATGTGTTCATCAATAGATTAATGTAAGTTAATTTGTTGATGAGGTTAGAACCCCTGTTACCCAATCATTCTCAAAGGTTCACCTTCACCTACGGTGGCAATAGTGACCAAACCTTCAACATACAAACTTTTGAGGGACACTGCAGATACAAATCATAACAAAGAATATTTATAAAAATATTATTAAATACTTTCAGATTCAGAAAAAAATTTTCCTATTTTAGTTCCATACTAATTATCTCAAAAACTAACACCTTCTTTATCCTATTTCTTGTTTGCCAGTCTATACTCTATAAAAATCCACATATAATGTAAGCTTTGTTTATTGATAATCAAATAATGTGATGCTTAAAATAAACTCAATACTTTCAGAAACATATGTGTTCCTGGAATTTGTTAATGTAATAACAGTTTTAGATGAGCAGTGTGATTTTTAGAGCATTTGATGTCCTGAAGTTTGGGATATACACTGGAGTCAAACAAACTATTATATATTTTATTTACAAAACTATGCCCTAGAGAACTTTGTAGAAAACAGAAACACTAATCTGTTACAAAACAAATTAGGCAAAAATCCTGAAGACATTGCAGTAGGTAGAGAATTCATGAATCAAACCACACGGGAAATACTTTCCAGAATCAATAATTGGGATCACATCTTATTAGAAAGTTTCTGCATGTCAAAAGAAATCTCCAGCATAGTGAAAAGAAAACCCAAAAACTGGGAAAAAATCTTAGTGAACTGTCCCTCAGACAAAGGACTTCTGTCTAAAACATATAAAGAATTAAAAAAAAAATCAGACCCTGGAAATTCAAAGACCCAGTCAAAAATGAGCATCTGAGATGAATACACAATTCTCAGATGAAGAAATACAAATGGCAAATAAATACATGAAAAAAATGTTCATCATCATTACTCATTAGGAGAAATGCAAATTAAAACAACACTGAGATTCCATTTCACTCCAGAAAGAATAACCAGAATCAAGAAAACTAGCAACAACAAATGCTGGAGAAGCTGTGGGGAAAAAGGAACTCTCCTGTACTGTTGGTGGGAGTGTAGACTGGTGCAATCACTATGGCAATCAGTCTGGAGACTCCTCAAAAACCTGGGAATGGAAGTCCCATTAGACCCAGCTATTCTGCTTCTCAGCATATTCCCAGAAGAACCGAAAACATCATACCAGAGACATATACCAGTGCACCCATGTTTATAGCAGCACAATTTGTAATAGCCAGATCTTGGAAACAACCAAAGTGTCTGTCAACTGAGGAATAGATAAAAAAAGCTGTGGTATTTTTATACAATGGAGTACTACTCAGCTATAAAGAATGATCACGTTGAGACATTTATAAATAAATGGGCGCAGCTTGAGACCCTACTCATAAGTGAAATAAGTCAAACTCACATGTATAAATATATAGTTTCCCTTGTGTAAGAAATGGTAAGAGTATATAAAAGTTTATGGTAATCATTATTCCTCATTACATTGCTTTGAAGACTTACAATGTTTCCATTCATTAGTTAGAATGGTTTTATCCTGGTTTATTTGACTTTATTGTCTGTAGTAGTATGAACAGCTATTTTGAAGAAAACAAGACATTATAATAGCCACTGCTGATTTAATATCATCATACTCTGAAGTCCTACTATGCTTTTGTTCTTCTGTTGCCATTGGTTCTATCATATTATATCTTACTGGATTTTATTATGTGTGATAGTATAAACAAATTTTATAAGGAAAATGATATAATATAGTAGCTATTGTTCATTCTCTGTTATTTGGTTCTTAATGCCCTGTAATGATTTTATTCTCTTGAATGGTTTTATATTGTTTTGTTATGTTTGATATGATCATATATGAAGTTATACACAACTATTTCAAAGAAAGAGACATTATGGTAGTTACTGTTAATTATGGGTTGTCTTGTGGTAAAATGCTGTGTTGCTTGCATTTTTCTGATCTGATCTGCTGTGTTATTTCCTCTTTTGTCTTAATCTCTTTAAAATAAAAAAAGAAAAAACAGATTAATTGATAATAGAGTCTGGAAAATGCTGAAAAATATTAGAATTTTCTCCCAAGCTTTATTAAATGTTTCAGATGGTACATTTGGTATCCTATATGGATGGACATTTTTAATTTTATTTTTGTGTCAAGTAATTTTACATTATCAAAAATTGATGCATTGGGAATGTTTTTATCTACTAAGTGTAACCTTAAGTTAATATCTGTAGTTAAAGTAAGATTTGATTGAGCCTTCTTCAGTTGAAATATTTTAGCCTGTAACCATATACATGATTTGAAAATACATTCTTCCATTATATGACTTGTATATTCATTCTTTAGAAGATATTCTTTGAAGTACACAGTTGTTAATTTTGAAAGTCACATTATGTATTTCTTTTATTGATTATGCTTTTACTGTAACATAGGAAAATGCTTAATTCAAGGTAATTAAGATTTACTCCTAGTTTTCCCTAATAGTTTAGCTTGTATACATGCATATACATGGACACATGTATATACAGACACACAGATATATGTATGTGTATATGATCTTCTTTGAGTCTCCGCATAAGATATAAGGTAGGGATTCAAGCACATCATTTTTTAGTACATGTTTGCAATGCATACAGTTTACCGTCACCTTGGGGAGAAGCATGTACTTGCTACAGCTCGTTTCTTTTTAAACCCCATTCCCTTCTGCCTCACACCTTTCTTCAATTCCCCTTTCCGAATTTTCATTCTTGTTGATATTATTAGTCTTAGCACATATTTATGACATGGAATATCTACATTAAATTAAAATTATGAAGTTCTTGTATATGTCCTAAATTTATCGTACTTACTTCTCCTTAAATTCCCATCAATTCTCCCCCTTGTTCCCTTTTCCATTTGCAAGACATCCAGTCCTTTATTTCCTACACATTTTTAAAATTGTCTTTGTACTTTGCCTTACTCAAATGTAGGATACTGTATGGTATTTAAGTTGATGTGTCTGGGCTATTTCCTAAATATGCTTTTCAGGTACATTGATTTTCCTATAAATGACTCAAGTTTTTTTTTTTTTTTCCTTTATAGTTGAGTAGTGCTTCGTTATATATAAATACTGCATTTTCTTTCTCCAATCTTGTTAACTGGTATATAGACTGCTTCCAGGATTTAGCTGTTAGGACTTGTGCTGCTGTAAACATTGGTGTATGCATGTATCACTATAGTATGAAGTCTTAAGCTCTTTGGAAAAGATAGCTAGCAGGGGGATAACTGGGTTATATGGAATTTGTAAATGTTCTTTGAGAAATCTCTATACAGATTTCCATAACAGTTGTAATAGTGTATAGTCTCACCAAACAATGTAGAAAGTTTCTTTTTCTACCACGAGTTTGCCAGCATTTATTATTTTGTTTTTATTTCTTGATTGCCATTCTTTCTGGTGTAAGATGAAATCTTACTGTTATTTTATTTTGCATTTTTCAAATGACCAGAGCTGGCAAGCATTTTTTGTTTTTATTTTGCTTTGCTTTTCCACATATTTGTTGGCTATTTGAAACTGTTGCTCTGGGAAGTGTCTGCTCATTTCACATGCCCATTTCTTGACTGTTTCCTTTATTTTTAGTATTCTGCTATTTTGAGTTATTTATATATTCTAGATATTAGCCCTCTGTGGAATGGTTAATAATTTTTAAAATTTGATAGATTATTTCTTTGTCTAATTGATTCTTTTGCTGTAAAGAAGCTTTTCAATTTGATATGACCTCATTTATTGATTCTTGCTGTTATTTCTGATAGAACTGTGGAGGGGAGAAAGGGGAGGAGGACTGGCAGTGGCTGAAAAGATAAGAAGTATAAAATATAAGTAACCTTTATTTTGGGAATGCGGGGAGAAACACCCCTGACCCCCTGGGGTATGGCATCTCCACCCCAGGCTGGCGATCTCTCCGGGGAACACGTGGAGTGAGGCACATAAGTAGCCTCGGCCTGGGGTGGAACCTAAAGGGGCATTTTAGGGATGCTCAGGTAGCCCATTGGTCTTAGTTTGGTGCCAGAGGTAATTCCTAAGGGTGGGGGGAGATAGGAGCTCCTTGGCTTTACCGGCTACAGTGTCCGGCCTGGGCTAGCAACCCTTTCATATCTCGTCTTATGATTATTATGAAAAGGGGCAAAGATTTCTCTGTTTAACTACTTCCTGCTGGCTGAGGGCACTGTACTAGGGTCTAGGGGAGTCAATGGGATGATGGTTGATGTCTAGGTAGAAGCTGGTGCCAGGAGTTTTAACCAGGACAACTTCACTGGTGAATGGATGTATGTTAGACTGAAAAAACAAAGAGACAAGATGTTATGAGGAGACATGGCACTGTCATGTTTAAGGACCCAAGTGAGGTAGAGGGAAAGGTATCTTTGATTTAGACATGTTATTCTATTAGGATGACATTGAGGTAGGAACATTTTTATGGCAAGGCAGAATTCTGAAAAAATTAAATGTGGGATTAGGAGGAGTGAAGTTATGAGAGGTGCTTATTCTCCCATATGAAAGCATAAAAGTTAAAAGGCAGGTAGGTAAGGCTTGTCTCTGGTATATATGACGTTGGAGTCTGTATGCAATCCTGTTAAAGAGTCCTGCTATAAAAATGATCATTAATAGAATGTAAGAAATTAAGAACCAAAGTGGATAACAAAACATGAAAACCTGTGAGTCGTAAGGCAGAGATGAGTATCAAAAGGATGGTTAGATATAGGGCCTGAGTGATGTGAAACCAGGATGGCAGTTTAAAAGGGAATAGAAGCATTTTTAAAAAATTTTATTTAAGGAGAAAAGAAAAAAACAGTGAAAGTGTACAAGTTATACAGATTTACAGAAAAAAAAATGAACAGTAGGAAATCACTAGTTAATGGATTACATATTGCCATCTTAGAAATAATTGTTCAAGTCACAAAATTAAAGCTTGTAGAGTGGACATTCCAACAATGATACTGCAAACAGTTCTGTTCAATGATCCAATAAAACTCTGTGATATCATTTTCTATCATATACACTTAAATATACATGCAGTTATATAGTTTAGAGCACTTTCTTTTCCTCTCTTTTGTACAATGACTATTACACATTTTGGGTTTCATTGCTCCCACGGTTCTTATTGCTTTTTTGGAAGAGAGTAAAGCCAAATGTGACATAACAGAACAGAATCGGTCAAGTCAAAAGGGTGGACATAATAGATAATGTAAAAACATAATACAAGGTGGTCAACAATGGTTACCATAATGCCTCCCGCTATCTCTAATAGAATTGCCTATATCATTAGTTATAATATAATTGAACAAAACAGTAAAGAACAAAACTGACAAAACCAAAACATTGGAGACATTGTAGGTCTT